CTCAGGAGCAACGGGATCCCAGCAGGATGCCAGGTCACGTGCATGGGGGGACAGACCTCAGGCTCTGCTGGGCATTGAGAAGATCCAGACTGACCCATACAACACACTTGCTCACAGAATCACAGAAAGATTTTGGTTGGAAAAGGCTTTTCAGATCATCAGGTCCAGCAGTTAACCCAGCCCTGCCAAGGCCACCACTGCGCAGTGTGCCTCAGCACCACATCTGCAGGGCTTTGTCATCCCTCCAGGGATGGGGACTCCACCCCTGCCCTGGGCAGCCTGGGCCAGGGCTGTTCAGACAATATGGTTTATACTTTTACTCTCTGAATAAACTTTTTTCAGAGCTCCATTTCACAGCAGCAGGAGTTTGGATACCCACTAGAGTAATTCAAGCACTCATCAAGCATTTTTGGTATCTTGATTAACCCTGGCAAAGGATTTATAAAGAGAACAGGAAAGCACTTGCTGTCAGTACTTGTGGTTTATTTATAAGACAAAGCATCTGTAAAGCTTCCGTAGGAAGTTGGAAATAAAACTGTGTAAGAGAAATTTACTTTCTGACATAATATTTCTATTACTTGTTTATTCCCTTGGGAGTTTGGTTAATTAAACTTAATTAACAGGATCATTTAATCAAGATCATCCAGTAGCCCTGATAGTTCCAGGAGAAAACATCATATGTTTGTAAATAAATATCAATTTCCAAATAAGTCATTAGAAGAAGAGTAAATAAATGGTGATTATTGGGCAGGAAGGAAACAAACCCATTTGCAGAGGCTCTGGACAGAGAGTGGGCATCCCAAAAATCAACTAAACCTTCAGCTCAGCTTGATGGACCCTGAGTGTGAGAGCAGGTCAGTGTCTGCAGTACAACAGCAGACCAGGGATTCACCTGTGTGTTCCCATCTTATTTCCAGCCACCCATCTCTGCAGAAGAAACCCAACACTGCCCTACACAACTGGGTAGCTGCGAGCAGTCCTGCCAGGAGCAGGGAGCTGGACCCCAGCCTCCTGAATGGGTCCCTTCCAGCTTGAGAGGCTCTAGGACTCTGCTGGCACGTGGTGAGCAGCACTGCCAGGGGCAGGTGGGCATCCTTCCTGCCTCCCTGCACTGCTCCTGCCACCAGAAGAGCCTCTGCCTGTGCCCAGCTCCAGCCCCGCTGACCCCACAGCCGCTCGGGCTGACGCAGCTGCCACCAGTGACTGTGCAGAAACCTCCCCCGGCACCAGTCTCCTATATAGGTCAGTGCTGAGGGCTGGCCACAGCTCTGCTGCTTCCTAGAAAGGGCTCCTGCAGGTTTCTCAGAACAGACTCGCACATCTCTTGGGGAGGAACCTGTAGTTTCATGCATTGCAAAATCTGGGAGGGGGGTTGGACGCTCAGGGCTGCACAAAACCTGCTGTGGTCCAAAGCTCAAGGCTCTTTTTTTCATGTACAGACACTAAACATGGAATGGGCCAAACTCTGAGAGGTATTTTGTTGAGGATAACCTGCACACTGTCCATGAAACCCTCCATAACGGGGCTCTCTTTCTGAGCCTCCTCTGCCACCAACACACAGTTGCTCTTACTCATCTGTTGCAGAAATGTGGAGCAAGGACTCTGTAAACCAGGATGTTTGTAAGAGAACTGGTCAACGTGAGGCACTAGCTGTGCATGAAATAAACCATGGAAAAATATGTAAATAAGATAACCATAGCTGAGCCTGCAGGACATGAGACATCTGAAAAAAAATGTCTTGAGATATTTCAACCTGGAATACTGTTCTGGTGCCCTCAGCAGGTGCCTACACAAGAGGATAAAAAGTTTCCTCGTTGCGGATGGTTTCCTCTGGAATGGAGAGAGCACACCTTGAGTTTACCAGGCAGCTTTCCTGGCCCTGGCTAACATAAAAAATAATTCATTAACTATTTGAGTCATAAAGCAGGGACAATTGTTCAGACCTCAGGTTTTTGTGCTCTTGAGAACACAAGGCATAAAGTGCAAAACTGAGGGAGGCAAATGGCCAGAACACACCAGCCTGAGGTGGCCAAGCAGCACAAACATCCACCAGGGTTGCCTGGTGCAGAGTATTTTTCTTTATTTATTTTATAATTTTTTTTCCCTTTTCTTTTTTGCTTCCTGCTTTCCATTCTATGAATGTGCAGACTCCCTTTGGGACACAGCAGCAGGCTGGGGAGATGTAAGCAATGACAGATACTTTGTCCTGCACATCCCTGGAAACATCAGTAAACACCTCTCTCTGGCCATGAAGGAGCCTTTCCCCATGAAGCACTTCCCCGGGGTGAAGGAGCTGACACCAGACAGCCACACTGTTTTTCCATCACCTCCTCAGAGCAGCTATTTGCTTACTCCTACCATCCAGATTAAATCCAATAAAGTAATCAGTAAAGTCATAGTCCTGGCATTTGTCTCGGATTATCAGCTCAGGGTTTACACTGGCTGATGTATTTTCTGGTAGTAGGATGGTGTGAGTAACTGCCTTGGGCTGGCCTGCTATAAATCACCCCCTGCATTTGAAATATTCTTACTAATACATTTTACACCTGTTGTTTTTCCTCCTGGGTCACTTATCCCTCTCTGCACAGTCTCCCCATCCTGCCTGAGCTTTCAGGCAGCCCTCAGCTCCCGCCGGCACAGCGAGTCCCTGCCTGGCCATGAAAATATGTCCTGAACGTTAAAAAAAGTCATCCTGAAGGACACATGACCATGACAGCTGCACTAAAAATCTTGGGAATTACCAGAGAAGTGTCATAGATTATTGTAGGAATGTGGAAGGAATTATTAAGCGTGGCTGAACTGTTAGTGAAATGATGAGGAAACTTTAGCTCATTGTTGGAAACTACCCCTCAGATGAAGTACATTGATACGGGGGAATGCTGAGGTAGCTGGATGAAAGCTGATTGATTGTATGATTCGATAATACCTTGACTTAGGAGATATGTTTTCCACTTCCCCTTCTAAATTTACATTTTTTTTTAAGACTTGTGCAAACTCACAAAGCTGTCTACAAAGTGCTCATCCCAGCGCACCCCCTGTCACAGGAGAACAGCAGGTTGTTAGAGCAGGGTCAGCATTTCAGGAGATGGATGTATCCAGGGAATTCAATAAAATGCATCCCAGAGATGGAGAAATGCAAAACTCTGTGTGACTTGGGCATATTTGGTAGCACAGAAGCTAAAGTGGAAAGGGGCATCCTGTTCCCTGACCTGGTTCTCAAGCACCTGCACCCAGGACAGGGAAGTGTTGCCAAAGATGCCCTTGACTGTGGTCTGGCCAGGACAGCAGCTCAGCCTGTCCAAGGGACAACCTGGCTCTAAAACATCTTGCTGTTTCCTGAGGGCAACAACAAACAAGCAAAGAGCAAAGTAGATCATGTCAAACATTATAGTTGGAATAAATAGTTTGCTCCTTGGATTTCTACATTTGTTAGTAGAAAAACATCCCTTGACATTTTTGCCTAGACTACATCACAGCTTCATAGCCAACTAGGAGAGACAGCTGACCTGACTGCATTTAGGGTATCACTGCTCAAAAGAGCAAGTAATACCCTAAATTCACCCTCAGCCTGCAAAGCTGTACCTAACTGCAAGGCTGGGAAGATCTGGTCTGGGTCAGACTCAGGATTTTCATCCGCAGCCTTGGATTAAAGAGCCAAGTCTCCCCAGCACCATTTCTGTCTGCAGGGTGTGTGCTGCTGCTGCCCCTGACAGCAGCTGGGCACAGGGAAATGCCCAGCAAAGGATGCCTTTGCCTGCCCAGGAGATGGATAGAACCTCACCCAGCACCCACAAGGGCTTTCTCAATAGCCCAGAACTTTTTCAGCCTTTAAACAATACAGGGAAAACTCCTGCTTGGTTCCAATCTCCCCTGGAGCCCAAACCCGGCTCAGTGCACGATGCCACAGCCACCCTGCCCAGGGGGAGGCTGATCCAGCACCTCAGCACCCATGGCTGACCTTCCTCTCATGCCAAAACTAGACAGCTGCTGTTATGAAATCTCATTTTTTAAACATTTGCAGATCAGCAGGATTCTGAGTCATTCTTCACTATATTTCCCCACTTTATAATCGTAATTGTCTTGTCCCTTCCACTGGCAGCTCTGGCCAGACTAAATGAAACTTGATTGCAAACTGCCTCGGTTCCTGTTCAAGGCTTGATTTTCTCAGGCAGTTGGGAAGTGCACCCTGAGACTGTCGTGCCTTTCCTAAGAGCCCCAACACCCTGGCACTGCTGGCCTGACTCACAGTCAAGCTCCAATATATTTCCTGAATTTAGAAATGTACATTTCACAGAATTCCCCTGAGGAACTACAAGGTGGCTACGGGAGCTTTAATAGAAATCTTTAAACATGTAAATGTCCAAGGGTTGAGCACTTTAACCCTAGTTTTCTGGGGGAGTCTGTACACTATCTTTACAAATTTTTGAAAGTGCTGAAGAATTCATATAAACCAGGATTTTGTTCTTCTGCATCTACATTTGTGTCCCTATTTGTCTATGAATAGATATTCTGTGGATACTCACTCCAGTATCTTCACTCGTGGGTACAGATCTACTCTTTACTCACACTCAGGAGTTCTGTAGCTCATCTTGGAAATGCACTGCAAAGGGGTTCAGGTCCAGGGTCTACAAAACTGCTCTGAATGTAGAAAGTGTGTAGACACTTACTCACTTGAATAACCAGCAGATTCCACTCTTCAGGTAAATCTTCCCCCCCTCCCCTTTAGTGACAGCGTGTTTGTGGTGAGATATTAATCATTTCCTCCCCAGCCATGTGTATATAAGAGGAGCCCAAGGCAGAGCCACACACAGTTCATTCAGCCCAAGTGCAGAGCTGAGGTGGTGATGCTGGTCCAGGTCCTGGCTGTGCTGAGCCTGGGGGTGCTGTGCAGCTCAGCCCCCCCCCCAGCAGCCAGACCCACCCGCACCGGGAAGCTCACGCCGCAGGAGGAGCAAGACAGGGTTTTGGTGGGGCTGATCATTAGAGAAGTCCTCCACGACATGGAGAAACTAAACTTGAATGCAGTAAGTTCCTCTCCTGTGAGAGGCTTTCACCTGGCTGCTCCTCCATCCCCAGGTCAGGTGGAAGTTGCTAACTTCTTTTTTCTCCTTGGCAGGTTCCCAGCGTTGTCACTGCCAACACTAAGGTAAGGAACTGCATCTCTTTCTTCTATCTATAACTATTGCCTCAAATCCCCTCATTCAGAAATATTTTTTCTTTTATTAGTATTATTATTTTTCACTTCACCACTTCGATAGCACTAAGGTCGCTCTAGAAACCCAGGGAAATGCAAAGTTACTGCAAGAGCCTACAGAAAGCTGCTGCCAGTGCTGATACCCTTCAGATGGCTCTCTCAGCAGGCAAACATCTTAACATGTGTGCTGACACCTTGAGAGCCTCAAAAATTTGCTCTGAACCCTTAGTTTTAGAACAGTAAAAAGCTGCTACTTCAATTTCATCTCATAGGGATCCATTCATTTCACTGAGCTCTGTTCTCCTGCAATCCAGTGAAAGAAAAAAATGAGCTTTTTTTGTGGAGGAGATGAGCAGCACAAGTGAGAAGTAGGAGCCCATCTCCTCTTCAAAGTGAGGAGGAGACAAACAGCATCAGTCCCTCTTATGTTCTAAGAGGAAAGCTGAAAATTCACACCCGCAGTAATAATGACTTGTATTTAATTAAGACAATTCTGATATAGTTTCAACAGAGACACAATAGCAAGAAACAAAGCCCTAACGCAGGGTTGACCTTCCTTTCTCTAGAGGAACAAACACCTTCAGTGTTGGAAACCTCTAAAGTTCACATCTCCAGCTTCTAGTGGCACCTGCGACTTCCCCTGAAGGCACTGGGAGGGTTTTTTGCCCCTGGTATCTGTCTAAATGAAAACTGTAGATTGACCCATGGTTTCCTAAATTTGATGTCCAGCAAATTGCTGAATACAAAACCAGGGGGCACATTGAAAATGCAGCTCTTAATTCCTGCAGGTTATTATTTTTCATAGGTATCTAAATTCCTGGGATAAAATGTAGCATTTAGGTGGTACCAAGGTGTCACAGAAGTGCTGGAATAACTCCTGGCTGTCCTTGCAGGTGGAGAGCTGCATGTACAGCCACCTGAAAACCTTTGCTGACACCCTGGCAGGTCTCGACAGGCCAAGCAGGTTCATTGCCAGGAAACTGAACCGAGTTCAGGAATACAAAAGCATCCTCCCCAAGGTGAGTCTGACCTTGCAGCCTTTGAGAGAACATTCTTCAGCAAAGGCTCCTCAAGAAGGGGACAAGACAGGCACTAATTTGGCTGAATTTGGCACTAGAAATCCCTTTATCTCGGAAAAGTAATAGAACCCAGAAGGATAGTATTGCCCACATTGTCAGTATTCTTCAGAAAATGGGTGTATCACAGAATCCCAGACTGGCTTGGGTTGGAAGGGACTTTAAAGACCATCTAGTTCCAACCCACTGCCATGGGGAGGGACACCTCTCACGAGATCAGGTTGCTCCAAGCCCCAAAAACATTTATCCAACAACATAGACTTAAATATCATATTTAAGTTACGTGGCTGAATGATGTTGTCTTTTTTTTTTTTTTTTAAAGGACATTGATGAGGAATGTAAGACTGTACAAGTAACGAGCCAGGTGTTCCTGGAGACACTGACCAATTTCTTGAGGCTGCTCTCAGAGAAAATTCAAACTGCCTAAAGTGAACAACTACACCAAAGCCAAGAAGAAAGGCAGAACCTGAACTCTGCTCCAAACAAAATGTGATTCAGTTATTAACTTATTCTCAGGGATATGATCATAGAATATTTATACAGAGACAGATAGGTGTGTGTATATATTTATTTTGTGCATAAATATATATGGGCTTTAAATATATATATAGGTATAAAAAGTGATGTTATGGGAGCAGCCATGTTCCCTGTAACAACTGACACATGCTGCTCTGTGAAAAGACAAATATTTAAAATATTTTTATAATATTATCTAATTTTAATATTCTAACTTATTTAACACTGATTTCTAAAGAAAGAGTAATATTATTTTTTTATTTATTTATTCTATTTATTTGGGGTTTTTATGGATATTTTGAGATATTTATTGTGATGAGATTGTATGTCACTAATTACTTGAAGAAACTGCTGTCTAAGGTGTGTGAGGCAGAGCTCTGTGGTTGGGGTTTGGGGTTTCCTGTCCCACTGCCTCCAGCAGCCAAAGACCAACCCCAGGGCTCAGCTCAGCATCACCCAAGAGCTCCTCACAAGGTGGGGAACAGGGACCACTGGTGCCATCCAGCACCTTCACCTCCCTGCTGGCTCCCAGCCCAGCCCGGGGCTGAAGAAGCTTCCCCTTGGCTGGGAGCTCCCATCTCTGCTCTCTCCCTGGGCATTCAGATCCTGGGAATAACTTGAACCACTACATGTCTGATTGCTGATGAAGCAGAGCCATGTGACCCAGATCCAACCAAATCCTGGACAGCAGGAACGCAAACAGGGCTCTGACAATCGTGTTTGCTTTTCCTCCAAGTTTACTCAGCTGATCCAAGGTGTTTCCCACACCTCAGGTGAGCTGAGTTGGACTGAGCTGAATCAGACAATACTTGTTTTTTAATGCTTTAAGTATCCATGGCTGTGGAGGGCACTCAGCAAGTGTGTACCCTTCTAAAACTATCACTTTAGATCGTGAAAGTTAATATTTAATAAAATAATATTCAAGAGGAATGTTATTGCCCGGGCTGATCTGTAATGACATGACATGTGTCGCCGACGCTGACACATCCATCAGTAAATGTTTGTAACTTTCCACAAACACGGATGGACCTTTAAAGAATAAACAAAGTTTCTTCCGGAGTCAAGTGACTTTTATTTGTGAAGTGTGAGAGTTTATGGAGGTGCCTGAGGGAGCTGAGTGCCACCCCCAGGTGGGATGGACACGGGGATGGGTGCCCTGCTCAGGGTGAGCACCTGGGCTCTGCCCTCACCGTCCTGGCACCTTCCCAGGGACCTGCAGCCCTCGTGCTCCAGCCCAGCCCCGGGCTCAGCTTTACTGATTTCTGCTGAAGTTTTTAGGATGAGTTGCCCTCCTGCAACTCGCCTGGAGTGTCCCCACCATGGTTGCAGCAGCCCAACAGCAAAACCGCTGCCGCTCACTGCAGCTGAGAAGCATTCCCTGCCTTCCCCAGCGTGGGATGCTCCCAGTGTGGAAAACTTGAGAAGAATCCACCTTCTTGCACAGGGTGGGGATAGAAGGGCAGGAATGAGCACCCAAATAGCTGGAGCCAAGCTCTGAGGGACCACACCCCCCGAGTGAGCAGGACCTCCAGGGGGGGGTTCCACTGGAGTCTGATGAGAGTCAGGAAACCTGTGAATGAAACCAATCTGAGAATTTGTTCACTAAAATCTAAGAAAGAGGGAGTGCATGTCGAGCTGGATTCCCTTAGAGCCAACCCAGCCCCTGCTCCTGAGCAGTCTCCTCAGCCCTGCAATAGCTCAAGGACTGATAAGAACAGCCCTGAGGAGACTCTTATTGCTGCTGAATTTCAAAGCTTTTCTCAGCAGCGACACGCTCCATTTTTCACGTACTTTATCTTAAATTACAGCTAAATATTTTACATTAACTTTTCAATTCACACTTGAGCTAAATGAATGGGAAGTCACGGAATCGTAGGCTGAAAAAGAGGAAAAAGTGAGAGTTTCAAGTAGGAAACATTAAGACAGTGTTGTCAGGACAGCAGTCCAGGAAACTCTGACCAAGAGACAAGAGGGAAAAGCGAAGCGTTAATAGCTCCAAGTCACCTCTGAGCTGGCTGCAGGCAAAGGCAGACAGAGCTGCTGTCTAGGGCTGCTGGGGGCAGAAAAAGGAGTCTGGCTGGCAGCTCTGATGCCTGGCAGGGTGCAGGCAGCGGGCACAGGCAGCAGGGTCCCAGATGCAGGTGATTGAGCCCCAAGGTGCAGTGCTGGCAGTGCCCTGCAGCCCAGCCCAGCCGAGGGGAAAAGCCCGTTCTGCTGGGTTTTCCAAGAGCCCTGACATCACCTCTGATCCCAGGCAGGATAACTGGAGTGCCAGTCATGCCAAGCAGAACCCTGCGGTGCAGACAGGAGGGAAGGGGATGCCCAGGTCCCAGCGGGAGGCACAGTCTCACTGCCAGCAGGGCTGCCTGGGCACGAGAACCACGACAGCCCCATCACCGCTCTCAGAGCGCCGATAAGGATCTTGCGTCGTCATAACCCAACAGGACACACCTGCCTTAACATCTGAGCTGAGCCGTGACCTGGACTCTCCAGGGCTGCTGCAGATGTGTCTGTATGGGAAGGAGATGGTTTGGTTAAAAATGAGTGTGGCATTTCTTACATCACCATCAGGAGAAGAGCCCCCTGCAGCTCTGCCAGCCCCGGGAGGGAGTGGGACAGGCAGGGGACAGTGCAGGAAGGTGTGTTTGGCAGAGGCTTGTTCTACTTTTAGAAGTGGTAGGTGTGAGTTATATTTAGCACTTCCCATTTGACAAGCAAACAATGATGCTCAGTAAAACCCTTATCCCTGCCCAGGTGGCAGCAAAGCAGACCCTCCAGCTGCCCAACCTCTGACAGGTGCTGACCCCATACCTAGACCTGCCCATGCCCATGGGGTCCACAGTGAGCCCTCCAAGGGTGGGAGAAGCCCATCCACCCCATGTAGGACCTGCCACAGTCTTCTGGCATCCCTCCAAATGCAGAAAGGTGGCAGCAGTCCTGTGCCTCCATTACATGCAGTGCTGCAGGGAGGTTTGCCCAGACACATTGGGCTCTGGGAGCACACAGGACACTCAGCTGCTCTTGAACAGACACCAGCACTTCAAGGCTGCATTCTGCAGTTGGGTCCAGGGGTGCCTCTCCTAGAGCTGCATTTCCTAGATGTGGATGTCTCTGGAAGAGCTTGTGGGCTCAGAAGCAGGTGGTGGGGCAGCCAGGAGGGAGCCAGGTCATCCAGCAACACCTGGGAGTGGCTGCCTCAGCTCCCTGCCAGAGCCCACCTCCCCCCACCCCTCCTTCATGCCAGTGCAGAACCAACAGAAAACAGCTTGGACCCAGAAACACTGCACCTGTGCTCCATCCTTCCTCTCCTGTTTGAGCACCATTTCTGTTGCCATTGTTTCCTCATCCTAAGGATAGGAGGGATGGAGAGCAGCTGTGGCATCACCCCCCGATCAGACACATCCAGGGATGGTGATGCCAGCAAGGCCAGATGCAGGCAGCCTCAGCTCCATCAGGTTGCAATCAATACCTAAATCTGGTTTACTCTACAAGGGTAATCCCCTGTTTTCCTCCTTGAAACATTTGATTACTCATTGTCTGTTGCTATTTTACTTCCTTTTTCATCTTAAATTCACATTAGTCACTTGTCAGGATTCACAAACTGTTTATTTTCTGCAGAACACAAACCCTTTTACCAGCTTTGGATCACTTTTCCTTTTTTTCTCATTTCTGCCTGATGTTTTGGCAACTGAAACATGAACTCTCCCTCTCTGGCCATCCCACCTTCAGAGCTCAAGTTCAGCTGGTCAGTGGGTGCGGCTTGAAAACTCCCATTACAGATTGTTTGGATTGATCATCTTGTGTTTCTCTCCAACTCGCTCGGTTTCAGACGGTGGCTGAGAAGGGGGTGAATCACCCTTCAGCTTTGCCAGACTCCCCTGGATGCTTCCCAACAGCCTCCAAAGCCACCACACGCATGCAAGAGGCACCAGCAGAAAGATGCCAGAGACATGAAGTCCTTGGCCGCTCTTGGGGCGCATGGAAGGTCCTTGGGGAGCTCCAATGGGATTGATGTCATAAACTCAAGCCCAGAGATGTCTTGCAATTTTATCCTCCATGGATGGGAAGAAACAAGAAGTCATTGATGGAATTTCTTTCAAAAAAACCAAGGGAAAAGTCTTTTATTTTCTCTGCTGCCAGGGCTGGAGGGTGAAGTGACCCTGTGGTAAATGGTGCTGGTCCCTGTGCTCTCACCCCCACCACGGGGGCTGGAGAGGGACAGGGGCTGCCTGCAAAATCCCTTAATCTCATTTCTTAGAGTTTAAGATGAAAATCCAGAACTACTTATCTGTGATGTTTCCTGAAAGGTAAGAAACTCATTGTGGATCTCCAGGATGAGTTCCCAGTGAGAAGGGAGATCTTCCCTGCTTCCCCAGAATTGGCAATCTACCAAAAAGTCTATGAGTTCTAAAGCTTCCAGACCCTGCAAAACCCCATCAGCCAGAGAGACTGTGGGAGAACCTCAGAAGACAAGGTCCTGCCCTCCAGGGCAGGAGGTCAGGAGGCTGAGATGTGCACGATGAGCTGGCTTTGGGCTCATTGTTGATCCCATCAGTCTATACAATTCTCCCCTGCTGCTGCCAAGGAAGGGCCCATGTGAGTCACAGACACTCTGTCTTTCTGTGAGTACCCCCAGAGGCAGCCATTCACGGGGAATACCTTTTGATTAATTAAAAAGCCTTTCAGTGCCCACAGACTAGTTTGAAACACAGCCTCTGCTCCTCCATCAGCCTGACTTGGAGTCCTGCTCCAAGGGCCACTTTCCAAAGCTGACAGCCCTCTGGCCAGACAGCTGGCCATGGACCAGCAACCACAGCCAGCACACGGAACGCCAAAGGAATGTCCTGGGGCTGGGGAGCTGAGCTGCACATCTGCTGCAGATGCCCCGGCCCAGCACAGTCACCAGAAACCATGATGTCTGTTTCCCCTGCTTCTGAGCAGCGTTTAAAATTACCCTGTGCCCGGAGAGGAGCATCGTTTCCTTCCTCCTGCAGAGCCAGACCACAGAGGTGCAGCACAGCTTAACTCCTTCCAGCCCCCAGCCACAGAGGCATCCAGGCTGCTGAGCACAGGGCGCTGTGCAGCGTTTCAGCCTCCCCCACGCACCATTCATTCCAACTGCAAGAGATGGAGAGAAGGGCCCAGGAGGGGAAGAGGGAGCCCGGGCTGTCTGAGGAGCCTGATGGTTTGGTCTGCTCAGAGGTGTAAGAGTGCAATTGCCAGCTGGAAACCTGGCTGGGGCAGATTTTTAGGGAGAAATAAGAACATTCTAAGGTTGCTCAAGAACGCGTGGATAGGAGGGTGACAGAAGAGTGAAGGGGATCTTCAGAGGAGTGAAAGTCAATCTTTTTGCATAGGAAGGGGATTAAGAAAATAACCTTAAGATGGTGTCACAAATAAGTAAAGCTACTTCCAAAAGCATCTGCTTTCCCTCTAATATGACAAGAAGCCTCACAAGAGATGCTCCAGCTGGCTGAACTTCCATTCAAATTATATATAGGCGGCAATGATCCTACAGTGATCACATACGTGGTGATGATCCAGAAGTTCTCCAGCAAACCCTTCACAGGGAGGGAGTTTTGCTCAGAAGCAGGGGTCTCTGTACCATCACTGTACTGAGGCTTCCCACCAGGATTTCTACTCTAACTCATACAGAGCACAGCTCCTAAAAACTAAGCCCATCAAAACCATCAGGCTTTGAAAAGTGAACATGATTTTCTGTTAGTTTCCAGTTGATTTTCTGTTATCTTTTCGGTTTCTCGGTTGATTTTCTGTTAGAGCTTTCAGTTAATTCCTAATGGGCCAGGCCATTCTCTGCTCATTAATTTAATTCTGCATCTGACCGGGAGGTGGGTATTTCAGAGGAGTGGAATCCTATCAGTTCATCTCGTTAGCGCGGATCCTCCTCAGATTTTTTGGCGGAGGTGGAGTTGGACGCAGATGCTGCTGGAAACTCCCTCCTGCCACCTCAGAGGTTATCCCCAAGGTGCAGAATAGAAAAGAAAGGTCAACCCTGATCCCACCATGAGGGGAGCAGAATGGTCAAGGCGGTTTCATCTCGGAGTATCTTCAAATGAGTCAGTGCGTGAGGGACCCGCTGCTCAGCGTACGTACATGACTACACCACAAGTTCCATCTTCCTTTCCGATTTTATCAGATCTTTCTTTCCACCCTGGCTGCAATCTAAGAATGTATTTGCATGTCATCAGTGGCTATAAAAAGAGTAAAGGGAACAAGGTGGAGTCCCAGCTTCACAGTTCTGTTTTTTCCAGCAGCAAAAGTCCATCCTGCCCACATCTTTCCCTCTCGCCCTCTCTGCAGGGACTCCCGTTTCTTCAGCCAGTTTTGAGACAAACACAAACTCCCTGATGCTCACCCAGAAGTTCAGTTGCAGCCCTACCTCCTCCTGCCTCTTCCCAGGGAAGAAGTTCTTCCCTGCAGTTTGACTCTGGCTACAACATTCAGTGCCAGCCTGTGCACTGATCCGTGCCACAAACACGCTCCGTGGCTTCCCTTTAAGCCCCACCAGACTCTGCCTGTCTTCACAGCCACAGATGCCAGGGGTGGCAAAGTCCCCACTTACTTTGGAGGCAGCAGAGATGGGAATGAGCATCCCAGTGTGGGGTGGAATTCTGCTTCCCAGGGTGTGTAATGCACAGTGCCACTGGGAGGGTCCACCCTGCTCCTGAACCTGTTACGATCAGAAGAGCAGGGTCTTCTTATCAGAGCAGAGCTGCCATCTGGTTGGATTGATGAAGGTCCTGGATGGCACAAGGTAAGGAGGGCTTTCCTGTGGGTGCTGCCCACTGAGGTAACACACCATGGTTAATCTCAGCTCTGGAGTAAAACCCATCTGCTAATTACAGGGAAGGACTGGGAATGTCAGGGTGACTCCAGCAAGGCAGCAGGACTACCCCAGTTCCTGCACCAGCAGAGCACAAGTGCACTGGAAGTGCTGCCAGGATGGTTTATCTAGCTCCTCAACACTGAGTTATGGGGAACTGCAGGGAAGATGTTTTACTCACCAAATTAATTACCAAAATGACTGAAAGCAAATAACTGAACAAGATGGGTCCCCAGGGGAGGGAGCTGCCCAGCAGCATCTCCTAGACCTGGTTTGTAGCTTACATGGTGGTGGCTTCTGATGCAACTAATGTCATACAGGGAACATGCTGGAGTTATACTACAAGTTTGGTGAAAGATCAGCTCAGGGACAAGTATGAAAATGCAACAGAGCTGTAGCAAAAGGAGCATCTGGGTTTTGTCACAGTGCAGCAGGAGCAGAGGCCAAGAGCAGCCCTGCTCTCCTCCCCAGCAGGCTCTGCAGGGCCAGGGGACAGGAGAGGGCTCTGCACACCCAGCACCCACTGTGGCTCTGGGATGAGCCTACCATGAGCTTGAGGAATCAATGAAGTAAAACCTCATTAGCCAAATTTCCACCTCCATCACCAAAACTTCCACCCCCATCACCCAAATTTCCATCCCCATCTCCTAGACTTCCCCCTCCATCACTCAGACTTTGATCTCCATCACGCAAATTTCCTGCGGATGAAGTATATGAAGCTACTGTCCTGACAGTTTCAGCCTCCTCAGGAGAGTGTGGAAAATGGGCAAATGCCCCATAAAGAGGAGTGAAGGAGCTGCTCTTCTGCCCCCACTGAGATCCTGAGCCATCCTTGCAGCCCTCAGCTTGGTCCCACTCCCCCCAACACACCACCAGCCTCACAAAAGTATCTCAAGGTCTCAGGAGGGCTCTCAAATTTGTCACCTATATGTGAACATGGAGTTATTCACATGGAATTCCTTCTGACAACCACACAGAACAAGGCAGGAGCATTAATTAATAAAGGCAAGAGTGTTATGTAATATAATTGCAATATTAAGCAGGGTAAATGTGCATGTAAAGATCTGAGAGACATTTTGGTAGCCCTGGTTTATCTTGCACCAACTTTTAGACAATATCTGCTCACAGAAATTCTTCAGCATCTGAGATCAGAATGGGCTCCACCACCCGAATTACGCAGCTCCCACTGCACCGATGGGGGAGCCCTTGGTTTAGAAGCGTGGAAGTTTCCTCAATCAGATAAGAAAGTAAGAGCTTCCATTCTACAGGTGACTACTCGCCCTCAGTTCAGGCATATTTGTGGTGAGATATTAATCATTTCCTTGCAACAGAGCAAGTATAAGAAGAAGCTGGGAGCCCCAGCCCCAGGAGGGAGCTCAGTGCTGTGACCATGATGCTGTGCCTGGCGGGACTGCTGCTGTCCTGGGGGGCTCTGTGCCTGGGGTCCCCCCTGCCCCCTGCTGCCTGCTCAGCCGACTCCCTCATCCAGGAAACCCTCCAACTGATCCAGACACGCACCTCTGAGGTAGCTGCATTTTCTTTGTGCCCCACTTTGGTGGTTTTATGGCCCCAGGAGCACCTGCTAACGAGGATTTTCTCCCTCTCTTCCAGGGCAACAGAGAAGTGCTGCTGGTAAGATGATTCTCTGGCTCGTGGTGGGATGTTGTGTGCTTGTGGTGCCTGGCTCGTGGGCTCCTTGGGGTGGAAAGGGAGAGAAGCTATGGTCAAAGCACCTTCAGGATCTCTGCAAGCTCTTCTGCTGTCAAGATGGGTCTTAGATGTGTGCTGAGAGGTGATGTACAGGGCTGGAACTGCAGCCAGGTGAATCCTCCTCCCTGCAGAGTTACCAGTGCAAAGTTACCTCCCTGAAGGGCCAGCAGTGGCAGGGCTGGTTCCTTACTCTGAGGTGTCCAAAGTGGCTAGATGGTACTGGCCTCGAGTTATTGTGCACCATTATTTCTAGTAGTAGGTGTTTTAATTGCATGAATGTGCTACAACCTGTGCCAGCAGCAGAGCACAGAAAAGGCAGAAATTACTAAACTTTGTTATTCCAGAATAACGTGCTGGAGGAGGAAAGGAACTTAACCACCTATCTGGAAAGATTTATCAAAGTCCTGAAAAACAGCAAAAAGTGGTCGAAGACAGTAATACCCCAGAACCTGCAGAAAATCCGGGATGCTGTGAAGTCATGCCCGGAGTGGATGGTACGTTGGGGTTGGATTGGCTGTTCTCTGCCTTGTGGTGTTGGGATGACTGGAAAAGACACTGTGGGCTTTGTCCTGGCTGTCCTGAGAACAAGTGCCTGCCCAAAGGCCGTGGCTGCCTCCTGGCTGAAGTCATGCCCGGAGTGGATGGTACGTTGGGGTTGGATTGGCTGTTCTCTGCCTTGTGGTGTTGGGATGACTGGAAAAGACACTGTGGGCTTTGTCCTGGCTGTCCTGAGAACAAGTGCCTGCCCAAAGGCCGTGGCTGCCTCCGGGCTGGGTGGCTGCAGGGGGCAGTTTGCAGCCAGCCCCTGGCACTTGGCTGTGTCCCTGGAGCCTCCTCTGCTCTGCCCCACGCTGCTCACCTCTTCCCAACGCCTCCGTGCTCAGGGAATGTCCACCCATTGGCAGAGGTGCCTAGTGCTGGTGGGATCCAGAGCCCCCAGGGGCTGCTCTTGCTGCAGGACAGCTGCAACTTGCCATCCTACCCCAACTCTGAACGTCTGTGGTCTTAAAATTAATTAATAAGAAAAAAAACCCAACCCAACCCAAAAGCAAACCCACGACCCTCTGGCAGGGAGCAGAATGCAACTTCCATGTCCAGATTCTGCTCTTGTAACTCTTCTCTTTTCTGTCTGCCCCCAAGGAACAGGACTGGGAGCCAATGGAAGAGAAGGATTTTTTCAGTAATTTGGAATATTTATTAAGGTTCCTGAATCACTATGCCCCTTCAGAGGACACGGGGTAGTCTTCAAAGAAGTCTGAAGCACTCCTGGTCCAGCCTGCAGGGAGATCTGAGCTTTGCATATCCTTGCTCATGTACCCTTACTTCAGTGAGCAAGGCTATTGGGAGATACTATTTATTCATATATCTTTTAATATTTATTTATTCTATTTATTTGTAGAATGGTAATTATTTATTTTCACGATGCAATAATTATTCACTTTAGGAAAATGCTATTTAATGCTGTGGGAGCTGGAGCTCTGTGGACCCAGCTTTGGATTTGCTGTCACTCTGTCTGTTGCACCCAGGGCTTGGTTCTGCATCACCCAAGTGCTCCCAAAGCCAGAGTAAAACCACTCTGTGGGATGGGTGTGAGCCCCATGGGTGCCACCCTTCACCTCCTCATCAGCTCTCACTTTTTAAATGATGCTTAAGTACTTCTATTAACTGAGGAACATTCCCATGCTCCTAAGGCAGGGACAACCATTCTAAAATGTGAAAATTGTGAAGTGCAAATTATGGGAACATGAGTGTTCTTACTGCTGTGTGCTGCCAACACCTCATGGATGTATTTTTTTACAGTTAAATATTTGGGAAATGTGTATGCAGAACTCTATGGAATGTAACCAAACTCTAACAGAATCTATGCAAAATAAATGTCTTGCACTAAAGTGTAAATCTTTATTTCATTTGTTTTTGATTTGGTGATGGTTTATGGTAACTTAAGAAATATTCCATCTAAAAAAGTTCAGATTGATCAAATCAGGGTCTTCTAGTGGTGAGGTTTTGAGAGTTTCAGGGCAGTTTCCATTCAGAAACACAAAAGCTGATTCTAGGTTTTATACATGATTGATATCCCTGTGTAAAACATCACCACAAGGTCCAAATCCACCTGAGACCACTTGTGTTTTCAAATGTGGGTAAAAGTAGCTCTTAAACAGTTGGGATTTTCTTTCTTTCTTTGCTCTCATTTCAAACATCTGACTGCAGCATCTCTCCTTTCCCACCCAGGGGGGGGATATTCTGACTTCAGGAAGATTCACCCATAGAGAAACAAGCAAACATTCAGCAAACAGCCACAAAACCCTCTTTGGGATTGGGAGGGGGGGGCAGGGGTCCCCCCAGTTGCACCCACATCCCCATGGGCTGTCAGTGCTGTTGGGCACACACCCTCCCCTTCCAAGGGGATTCTCCCAGCAGAATTTCACCTTCAAGAAGCAACCCTCTCCCAGCCCAACCTATTTTTGGAAGCATCACTGAGCACCTGAAGAAAATTTCCCTAGATGGGGTGATTCATGGAGAAGGGAGCAGAGAGTAGTGGTTGTGCAAGCCCAGGTGTGCCACAGGGATCCCCTGGGCACCCCCAGGAAAGGGCAGACCTGGAGCAGGGAAATCCATGCTGGAATCTGCAGGGATGACTTAAGGCAGCAAACAGGTTTGAAGAATTAGCTATTATTTTAAATAACAGCTGCAGAGGAGCTTCTTGAGGGTGGGGGGAGGTAGATGCAGCATCAGCCTGTGAGCAGGGAGGGGAAAAACCCAAACCCAGGGGAGGTTCAGTCACCACCTGCATCCTCCAAAGAGTCAAGAATAAAGCACCAACCTACACCTACAGAAACAGAGAGTGTAGAAAAGGAAGTTGAACATTTTTGTGGCTTTAAGTCAAAGCAGCTCATGCCATGAGTGGGTGGGAGGGTGACAGCAGCTACATCAGTGCTTTTGGGACAATGCCCACACTGCCCCTTGGGACAACCCCATGAGATATTCCAGCCCCATCTCCAGCACAGCCTGCTGAGAAGTTGGTCTTCTAGGGCAGTGATCAACCTCCAGCTCAAAGGCTGAGAGCTTTTTGGAGGGCTGGAGCACAATCCAACACACCACATCCCCAGCTGCTCTCGCTTGGATCTGGTTGCAGACGACAGAGGCAGTTCTGACCTTCCAAGGAGGAGAAAAAAGCCAGGAAAGGGGCCATGACCTGTGGGATGGGAGAGCAAAGCACAGCAAAAGGCTGAGTTTGCCTCCAAAGCATCTGTTAGCACAAATCTGAGGCAGATAGAGCAGGGGACCAGGAGATGCTGTGGGGCATCCCTCGTGGCGGGGAGGGAAGGTGGGTAAAGGGTTCTGTTTGATTAAGCTGAACCCTCATCATCCTCAGCAGGTGCCCGGGGACAGGCAGACACAGCCTCAGCAGACACTCCCTGCCCCGCAGCTTGCTAAAATGCAAATCCTAATAAAATCCTTGTCACCGGGTCACTTCTCCCGGGCATCTCCTGGGGAGCATGGCAGGGTGGGCAGGTCCTGGGGACCATGGCAGGGCAGGCAGGTCCTGGGGAGCATCACAGGGCAGGCAGGTGCTGTGGCTGCGCACAGCGCGGAGGCTCCGCAGGGCAGTGTCCCGGGGAGCGGCTGCAGCCGCGGGGCTG